GGTCTCCTTCCAAGTCAATGGTGCTACCATCAGCTCCACCACGCAGGTTCGCTGCCTAGGTGTTCTCTTTGACTCCGACCTCTCCTTCAAGCCTCATATTCAATTTATTGCCAAATCCTGTCATTTCCATCTCAAAAACATTGCACGCATTCATCCCTACTTAACGCCAGATGGGACTAAGGTGTTGGTCCATTCTACTGTCCTTTCTCGCCTTGACTACTGTAATCTGCGTCTCAGTGGTCTTACGTGCTCCCAACTTACGCCATTACAGTCCATAATGAATGCGTCAGCAAGGCTCATCTTCCTGTCCGCCCGCACCTCCCATGCCTCAACCTTCTGTCAGTCCCTACATTGGCTTCCTATAAAATATAGAGCTCAATTTAAAATTCTGGTTCTTGCTTTCAAATCTCTACATAATGCTGCTCCCACCTATCTATCCTCCCTTATACACAAGTATGTCCCGTCTAGGCCCTTTCGATCTGCTGAAGACTTACGTCTATCTTCTGTCCGTACTCACACCTCTGATGCTCGCCGTCAAGATTTCTTGAGGGCTGCACTGTTCCTGTGGAACTCGCTTCGCTCCTCTGTTATATGCTTACCCAGTCTCCACTCCTTCAAAAAAACTGCTCTGTCCAAATCGATTCGTCAGAAAAAAAAAAAAAAACGTTGACTCGGGTTTGGATTTGTCCATTTGGTAGTTTATTTCAGACTAATTTCATCCATGTGATCGCTTCCTTAAAGATCATTCAGATGAACAAAAACTGGCCAATCAGTATATTAAAAAAGTATATGTATATAGGTGCATTTTCCTGTGATTCAGTTCACAGATCAAGTGAAAGGTTAATAGATTTTAACATGTATAGCCTGGAGGAATGACAATACAGGGGGATATGATAGAAACATTTAAATACATAAAGGGAATCAACACAGTAAAGGAGGAGACTATATTTAACCCCTTAAGGACAAAACTTATGGAATAAAGGGTCCTTAAAGGGTTAAAAGAAGAAAAAGTACCACAACAAGAGAACATATACTTAAATTAGGTTTTAAAATAATATCAGGAAGTATTACATTACTGATAGGGTAGTGGATGCATGGAATAGCCTTCCAGTTGAAGTAGTAGAGGTAACACAGTAAAGGAGTTTAAGCATGCATTGGGTAGACAAAAGTCTATCTCAGCTATAAGATAAGGCCAGGGAGTAATGAAAGTATTTAGAAAATTGGGCAGACTAGATGGGCCGAATGGTTCTTATCTGCTGTCATATTCTATGTTTCTATGCGAAGAAGTAAATAAAGGGAAAAAGAAGAGAATCAGCAAAAAATAAACAAACTATATTTCTATATTATATATTTATTAAATATATATAATATAGAAATTTATATATTTTTTTTAATGTTCCTCCTTTTTTCTCTATTGGTCACATCTTACTTGATCTGTGAATAAACTCGACATTCAGTGACTGTGCCCTATCCATCAATCAACTTTCTTTGTTCCTATGTATAGACCTCCAAATCACGAAACAAACAGCTTGTCCATTGTACATTTCATTTTAATTTTCATGATTTGTTTATATGGGGTTTTGGAGTTTGGGATTTGGATGAAACGCAATTAGTTTAAAACTATATGTACAAGTCTACCGATGAGTTGTACTACCATTGGTGTAGCAATTTCTTATTTGGACTTCAATAATTGTCAAAGTGTTCTAATATGGATTACTAAAATAGATGATCCTTGTTTCTATTCCAAATTCTACATCATTGTTACAGTGTTCTAATTTAGAACACCAGCATATTTATAAAGTGTTCTTGTACGGAATGCTAGCATAATGATTTAATATTCTACTTTAGAATGCTAGTACACTAGTATAGAATCGTATTTCTCGTATATTGGTTAAGTTGTCTTCTCAATTCCATCACATGGAAAATGTGTTCAGAATGTTAATATAGACCGTTGTGTTTAGAATGTTATTGTGTGTAGAACACTAGTTGCAATTCCATCACACTTAGTTTGATTTAGAATGCAAAAATGTTATACATACGGGTACCAATTTTATTTAGGCAGTTATCTATGAAACAGCTAAAAAAGCTAAATTAAGAATGCTAGCACACTGGTGCAGTGTTTCTATACATATTCAGTGCTTTCACTTATTGATACAGTGTTCTAATTTAGAATACTAAAATACTGATAGAATGTTCTTGGCACTGAGGTAGAGTTTTATGTCGAAACGCGTATGCCGTATTTTCTATGCTGTATCTTACAAGGACTTTTTGTGGTGATGTATATATTTGCTATTACACACTGCTTTTATTTATGTTCTGATTTTATATTTTCTCTAAATAAATTGTGTTTGGATACTACATCGTACCTGCTTGCTTTACCTGTGGACATCTACCGAAGCCAGTCCTGGCACCTTGAGGCTGATAACATAGAGCCTGGCACGGCTCCATATTGGTGAGTTTAACCATACACTTACTCACTTTATATTGTATTTTATTAGGTTACACTATGTACTTTTTTATTTATCTCAGGGTTGTGTGCATATGAAATAGTGGTTTTACTCCAGTTTTCTATTTATTAATCTATGTTTTAAGGTGAAAGGGAAAACACCTTGTTTGCACATTCACCCAATACCATATACTCAGAAGCGACTATATACCTACTGGTTTCCAGTAAAAAAAATTTTTTCTCAATTTAATATTGTTGGATAAGCTTTCTAAATGATTTTATAATTTTGGACAAACTTGTATTTTATATTATGTTGCTTTTGTCTGTTTTCTTCTTATTTGTTTGTTAATTAAGTGTTTTCGGTCACCTTGTTAATAATCAATGTGAACATGTCCAACACAATACATATTACTGAACTTTCTAAGAATAATGCGAATGCCATACTATGCTGAATGTATAACTGTACCACACTAGTCGTACATTGACACAGATGTTACAATCTAATTATGAATGAGACTGTCTACAAGAACGCTTATATAACGGAATGTATTCATTTACTTGCATATTTGCTGACATATTTGATGACGTGTATGAACAACTGAAAACAATAAAAAATATAATAATTTAAAAAAAAAACAAAAAAAAATGTAAAATTTCAAAATATATTAATTTCAAAAAAATATATTATATATATGAAAAACATGAATATCTAAAATAATCTAAACATTACTAAATGTAAATATTTTTCATAATGTTAAATCATTTTGATATAAATAATTTAAAGCAATCTTATCCAAAAATATTAAATCATTTGGAAAGTGTATCCAACAACATTAAATCGAGGTCACTGTGTTTTAATTTTTCATGCAAGAATACTGGCACAAAAGGTTCATTTGAAATATAAGAGCTCTGCTAGAGTGTTCTATTTGGGATGCTTGTTGTTGCACTGTGTTTTAAGTCATAATTCAATAAAATAGGTTTAGCTTTGCTATTTTGAATTCTTCCAGAATTCTGCAGTGTTCTTAAAGAGACACTATACACACTATAACCACTTAATCTCATTGAATTGGTGCTATCCCTCTATTCAGCATTAACCCATTTTAGAAGAGATTAACTCTGAATTAGAGCCCCATATGTTTTAAAACTACAGCTTCCATGATGCTTTGCCATTCTAAAGGCATGCAAAACATCATGGGAATTGTAGTTCTGCAACATCTGGGCGTCTACCTTTTGGGCACCCCTGCTATAACCACTTCAATGAGATGAAGCAGTTACAGTCGCTTTAATAACTTACTATTCTACTGCTAATGTGGACTTTTACAGCATACTAGGATAACTGTGTAGCATTATTATATGGAATGCAATAGACTGATACAATGTTCTAATTCAGAACCCTCGGTAATCATACATACCATTTATTGGAACACTCGTACAGTGTTCTAATTCAGAATAGTTGCAAACATGGACAGTGTTCTCATTTAGAATGCTAGTATACTGATACAGTGTTCTTAACTGGAATGCTAGCATTGTTTTACCATGTTCTAATTCATACAATGTTCCTATTCAGAATTCCAGTTTAATGTAATAGGGTTCTGAATCGAAATGCAGACTTTCTGATATACAATAATTTAATATTGATGGATAAGCTTTGTTTTTTTTTAATGATTTAATATTTTTGGATAAACTTTTAAAATGATTAAATATTATTGATAGTTTGATATGTTACTATATTTTTATATATGATATATTATTTTATATTGTAATATATTAAAAAAATAATAATTTCAATGTTTATTCAAAAATATTACATTATTTAAAAAGCTTATGCGAAACTATTAAATCGAGGCTTTAGTGTTCTTTTTTGGAATTGCATGTTCTAAATTAGAAAGATGGTAAATGTCACGAACAGGAGTAAAAACTAACAACCAATTGCTCAGAAGAAAGTATGTGCACCAGGGCCTAAAGTGGCTAAAGTAAAACCTTTAGTAGAAGTATTTTTTAGATCAGTTATTTTTAGTGTAATGAGCAATCCTCTTAGTGTTAATAGTGTTCTAATTCAGAACTTTAGTATTCCGATACTGAAGAAATGTTCTTTTCAGAACGCCGCCATATATCATCAATGTTTTAATGGTGACAGCTTGCATACTGCTATAGTGTTCCTGTTCTAAGCTCAAGAAACATTGATCCAATTAAAAAACAATAGAAAACAGATAAAGTACTCTTCTAAATACAAGCACACTACTAGATTCTTTTTTTATAGATGCCATTACACTGGTATTATGTTCTCATGCATTCTGCCTTTGAAATGATTCAGTGTTTTTATACATAATACTCGTATTTTAATATAGCATAGAATTTAAAAATTCTAGCAATCTTGACTTTTAGCACACATCTAAACAATGTTCACATTTTGAATATTAGCATGATACAATACAAATATTTTTTTTATATTGATACAATATATTATCATTTTTAATGTTCTAAATTGGAATGGAATGGTGTTGATTAGTGATGTCGCGAACCGTTCACGAACTTGCCGCGAACAGTTCACCTCGGTCAGCTGACACATCCCTGCCAATCTCCAGCAGACCCTCCCTCCCAGACCCTCCCACCTCCTGGACAGCATCCATGTTGAAGCTGCCTTCAACATGGATGCTGTCCAGGAAGTAGGAGGGCCTGGGAGGGAGGGTCTGCCGGAGATTGGCAGGGATGTGTCAGCTGACCGGAGTTCGCCGCGAACGGTTCGTGGCGAACCGTGGCAAACCATTCGTGGCGAACCACGGCAAACCGTTCGCGGCAAGTTCGCGAACGGTTCGCGACATCACTAGTGTTGATATACAATTTAAGTTTTTGAAATTCAAGCTGATTGTTAGGGTGTTGTGAATCAGGACACGAGTGTACTGATACAGTTTCAATATCAATATCTAGAATGGTGGTATATTGATAAACTATTATAATTTGACATACATTCAAGTTACATGTTCCCATTTCAAATGACATCGTATTCTTGCAATGTTCTAATCCAGTCTCTAATGATTCTCAATTCTGGCTTATACCAGAAATGATTCAGAAGTTTTGTGGCATGCTAACACAGTGATCTAATTCAGAATGCTGGCATATTTGTAACATGTTCTTATTCAGAATGGTAGCTTATTCATAAAGTGCTCTAACTGTAAATCCTTGCATGCGTGCATTGTTACACACCATTTAAAATTCTTGCATTTTGTATGTACTGTTTTAATTCAGAATGCATTGGTTCTGAATTCTTAGCATGCTGTTTTAGAATTATAGTGCTTTTGATGCAATGTATAAGTTGCATTTTATAATGACTAGTGGGGATTCTGATACAGTTTGTTTATCTGGAATGCCGTGCTAGACATTTAGGGTTCTATTTTAACCCCTTAAGGACCAAACTTCTGGAATAAAAGGGAATCATGACATGTCACACATGTCATGTGTCCTTAAGGGGTTAAAAAGCTAGCATACTAGACCCAGGGCCGGTGCAAGGAGTTTTGCCGGCCTAGGCAAAAAAAAAAAAATTTGCCTGAAAAGACAGTGTGTTTACATTAAAAAGCCTACAGGCACAGGCTATAGACACCAGAACCACTACATTATGCTGTAGTGCTTCTGGTGACTATAGTATCCATTTAATGTGAGGTAAATTGAGATTAGTGCCACTAATAATATATTGGATTGCCTACTTACCACCAGATGAGGACAAGAGGCTGATGATGGGCTCAGTCTGGCTCCACAGGTCTGGTGTAGAAAAGGCTTTCAGGAGACTGTTTTTAACAGTGCTCACAACAATTAATGAACAGGAAGCAGCTCCATTTTTTAGTGCCCCTTACACAGCTCAAGGTCTGGGCCCCCGGGGCTTGACCGTGAGTATGCCTACAATGCCCACCCATAAATTCAGCTACATGGCCCACCCATGAGTTCTCTCACAGGAAGTGGAGTGTATGTGTGTAGGGGATGTTTTATGTGTTATTGTAGAGGATGCAATGTGTGTGTGTTCTTATAGAATGTAGTGTATAGGGATACCAATTTCTGTAAGGGATGTAGTGTGTTTATAGGGGATGCAGTGTGTGTTTGCGTGTAAGGAATGCATTGTATGTTTCTGGGTGTGTGTGTGTAAGGGGTGCAAGGTGTGTTTCTGTGTATTTAATTGAATGCAGTGTGTGTCTGTAAGGGGTGCATTGATTGTGTAAGAGATGCATTTTGTTTCTGTGTGTAAGAGAATGAGTGTTTGTGTGAACGTTAGGGATGCATTGTGTGTTTCGGGTGTGTGTGAGTAGGAATGCATTGTATGTTTCTGTGTGTGGGGGGGATGCATTGTGTATGTGTGTAGTGTAAAAGAGAGGGTTTGTGGGGTAGGATAGAGACTGAGAGGGGAGCTGCTCTTTATTTTTATTTTATTTTTTTCATAGTGCTCTCCCCCCCTGTCAATTATTGATTTCCCCTTCCCTCCTGTCCCTCCGTGTTCTCCCCTTTCTTTCCCTTAGTGCTCTCCCTTGGCCCCCTGTAGTCCTCCCTTGGTGGTCTTCTCACTCCCCCCTTCCCCCTTAGTGGCCCTCCCTCTCCCAAACCCCTTAGAACATAACATTCCCTTCCTCCCCCCACCCCTTTAGTGGTAATCTCCCCCCCAGTGGTCATTATCCTCTTTCTCCCCTTAGTGGTCCTTTCCCCCCTTAGTGGTCCTCCCTCTCCCAAACCCCTTAGTGGACCTCCCCCCTCCTCCCTCAGTGGTCCTTACTCCCCACCCCCCGTCCCCCTGTGTTCCTTCACCCCCCTTCCCCAGTGGTTCTTACTCCTCCCCCAGTGGTTCTTACTCCCCCCATTCCTCCCCCAGTGGTCCTTACTCCCCCCCTCCTCCCCTAGTGGTCCTTACTACCCCCATCCCTCTCCTCCCCCAGTGGTCCTTACTCGCCCCATCTCTCTCCTCCACCTGTGGTCCTTACTCGCCCCATCTCTCTCCTCCACCTGTGGTCCTTATCCTCCTCTCCTCCCCCTGTGTTCCTTACTCCCCCTCCCCCCCTCTACCTTCAGTGGTCCTTACTCACCCCCTCCTTCTCCTCCCCCAGTGGTCCTTACTCCCCCCTTTGGTCCTTACTCCCCCTCCCCTCCAC